AAAGCTCTCGAGATGTGCTATAAGAATATGCAATGAAAAATGGGGTGTTCCATTTAAAAAAATTAATGTGACCTTGACCTGACCTTCGCTACGCAACCCAAGGTCAAACTGATGTGATCAGTAAATACATCTTTTTAAACGCCACAACTTTTGTCTGAAACATTTTTTTGTAAAACTTATATTTTTCCTGATATTCGGACGTCCCTGTACTTTCCGAACACCCTGTATATATATATATATGCAAAATCATATATATATATATATATATGATTTTGCATCGGCGTCGCAATGTCCAAATCGGTACATATTTATTCAGTCAATCGCAGAGTAGCTGAGTAGCTGGTTACATGACCAAGTTGGTGATTCTCTGTACTAAAGGTTCTCTAAGGGCCTCCACACAAATTTCCGTAGCCATAACGTAAGACGCACCGTAAGAATTGACCAATTACGATCGAGTATTCATCAAAATGGCGACCTTATGATTAGACAATTCTCAACGTGATTGGATAATTCTTACGGTACGTCTTACGTTACTGTTATGTCAAGTTATGTGTAGAGGCCCTAACTCTGGATTATTCATCCTACATTTATTGGTCGAACAAGTACTTATAAGCTTTATGATTGGCTAGTAGAAACTTATGACGTTATTAATCACTCTCGGAGCGATTAACCCAGGGTCAGTCAAACACGCTATTAGAGTGAGAAAACATATACTTGTCTCACTTTAACTTATTGCACCAGTTCAGCAGTGCAGTTGAAAAAAACAGACCATATACTAAACTAGATTGCTAAGGGGCGCCGCACACGAATTGACATAACAGTAAAGGGACGTCTACATTTGAAGTAAGCAGTAAGAAGTAGGAAGTAAGAATAAGAAATTGATCAATCATAGTTGATTATTCTTCTCACATTCGACTGTGGTTGGTCAATTTCTTACTCTTACTTACTTCCTACTTCTTGCTATTTATTTCCAATGTAGACGTCCCTTAAAGCGTCTTCTACAATGGCAGTAAGAGTAATAGTAAGAAATAAGCAGTAAGAAAATGGACCAATTCCATTCTCACGATTCAAGAATAATCGATTGTAATTGGTTCATTTTCTTACTGCTTATTTCTTACTAGTACTCCTATTGCCATTGTAGAAGACGCTTAATGGCTTCTGCACACAGGACGCGGTAATGCTTGCCGCGCGACAGCCAATTAATATGTTGTTTTTCCGTAAGAGCTAGAAGGTTATTACGGAAAGCAGCATATTGATTGGCTGTCGCGCGGACTTCCGCCG